GTTAGTTGCACGTGGCTATAAAAATGTCCCAAAATCACGTAATACTATTAGAAAAATGGTTTTAGACTATTACGAGCAGATTAAAAAACAAGTTTTAAAGGAAATAATTAATCAAATATCAAGAGGCTCTAAATTTTCCTTAACGCTCAATGAGTGGACTTCTTTTGGAAACTGCAGATATATGAATGTGAACATACACGAGTTGAAAAGTTATTGGAGTCTAGGTTTGATACGTATTTTAGGGTCTATGCCAGCGGAAAAGTGAATTTCACTTCTAATCGAAAGGCTTTGCAACTTTAAAATAAAACTTAAGAACATAAACATTACGTCATTACGACTGATGGTGCAAGCGTTATGAAGAAACTTAGAAAAATTCTAAAAATAGATCAACAACTATGCTTTGCCCACGCTCTACAGCTGGCAGTTATATCAGTTCTTTATAAAAATGACTCCAGGCCCTTGGAAGTTGATGAAAGTATAGATGATGAGAACGCTGCCTTTGCAAATTTAGAGCATAAAAAATATGATAATTATAATAGCGATTACGTTTCTGAAGAGGAAGATAACATTTGAGATATAAATGATTCATTATTTATTAATGAAACATCTGAAGTTAAAATTAAGCCCCAAATTATTGGACTCATTATAACTAAAATTAGGAAAATTGTAAAAATGTTTAAAAGATCTCCAAGCAAAAATGAAAATTATTTACAAAAGTACGTAAAAATTGAGTTTGGAAATGTCATTCATTTAATCATGGATTGCAAAACCCGATATAGCAGCTTGTTGCTTATGCTAGACCAATTTGAGAAGTTGAAATATTGCATTAAAAAGGCATTTCTAGATTTAGAATTGGATTCCAACATTGATGATTCAATTAAGATGAACGAAAATGAATACAAAATAATATCTGATTTGGTAGTACTTTTGACTCCTGTTAAAGCAACTGTGGAAGCACTTTGTCAACGAGACGCAACTTTAATTTCGGCTGATATTGCATTAGAGTTCATGTTGACAAAAATAAAACAGCAACAATCTGAAATTGGAAAACAATTATATGATGCTTTGAGTCACCAAATTAAAGAGAGGAGAACACCGTTAAGCAGCTTAGTTTATTATCTTCATAATGGCCAGTTTACTTCATCAAAAATGCCAGAAGTTTTTGTTCTAAATACAAGTACCCAAAATAAAAAAAATTATCATAAACCTGATAAAGTGTTTAAATTCGGCAAATATAATAACAACAGCAGACTCGACTAGTGATGTGCAGTTAAACCAGGCTTTATCAAGCCACAAATGTGATAATAACGTCAAAACCATTAGTGAACAATTAAAGGAAGTTATGGAAAAAAAATTGGCAACAATACAAACACCACCTATAAGGGTAGAAAGTATATCTTCTAAAGTTCAAAAAGAAATGTTGTTATTTGAAAGTCGTAGCACAAAAGGCGATCGCCTTCAAATAACATATGATTATATGCTAACCATACGGCCAACAAGTGTGGAGTCTGAACGAGCATTGTCCGCCGCTGGGTTTTTATGTTCAAAAAATCGAACACGATTAAGCGACGAAATGATTAACGCTTTAAGCTTTTTGAGGTGGTACTTTCAAAAAAATATATAACTCATGCATGACCCTGCATTTTTATATCATTTTTTAATTATTATTTTTATTTAGGGTATTGTTTTATAATTTAAAATACTGTTACTTTGGTTCATTAATTTTTAAATGTTATCATCTTAGATAAGTTTTAATATAACAATATTAAGTTAAAACATCAGATGTTTAAACTTAATTTTAGGTTCATTAATAAATTAAATATTTTAGTTATATTATCATTAAATTAATCATTTTTAAGTGTTTGATGAGTACTTAAAAAGTTCTTATTATGCTTGTCTCTTTTAACAATTGTGTTTTTTTATTAAATCCCGGGATTTCCTGGGGACTAATTTCTCAATCCCGAAATCCAGGCATTGAAAATTTCCAGGATTTTTGCCATCCCTAACTGTATATATATATATATATATATATATATATATATATATATATATATATATATATATATATATATATATATATATATATAACATATATATATATATATAACATATATATATATATATATATATATATATATATATATATATATATATATATATATATATATATATATATATATATCATTATAGCCAATATCATGTAAAGATGGGTTATCTTTTCTTCTTCCAATAGCTCGCTGTTGACCAAAATAGTTTTCTAACGAATCTTGACAAAGCCGTTCAGTTAAAACATATTGGACACCAATATTTAAAAGATATTTAACTAAATCAACAACTGAATGGACAATGATATTGATACCTTCATATGTTTGCCAAAATAAAAACATACTCCCACTATCAGCCTTAGTGAAATTTTCAGGTCTTTGATCTATAGACAATTTCCAATCTTCAAAATATTAAAAAAAAACTTCAGTCAACCATGTCAGTCTTTCATCACAAATCAAACAAAATAGCTCAGAAAATGGATTTTGTTTTCTAGTGCAATCTACAATATTTTTCACATTGACACAATCAAAAAAATTATTGAACATTTGACAATACTCAGCAGTTCTAAAGGCTTCAGTTGGACCAAATGTCTTCAAAGCAATGCTAACTGATGAACTGAGTACTTGGGCTGCTAATCTTACATTCATTTTGGAAAATGGGCTTAACCTTATATGTTCTAAGGAAAGATTCGGGCAAGTGTGAAGGCAAGTGTGAAGGCAAGTGTGAAGGCAAGTGTTTAGATCTTCATAAAATAAATTTGATACGTGATTCCACAAAATGTGATTTTCAGTATTCCACATATACCTCTCTTTACCTGAAGCAGAATGAAAAAGGCAATTTCAAGCAGTTTTTATTAAATGTGGAGGATCAGCTATGAAATATATATCGATCATCATCAGCAAATTTATTTTTGATGCAATAAGTAAATTTAATATTTTTATTATTATCTTGTATTTCTGTCATATCAAAATGCATAGAAAAAAATTTACGATTACATGAGGCCCCATCACTTGTAGTAGCAATTACTTTTAGATTGCATGAAAGCTCTAAAATACTGACAGCTTTCCAAAATAAGGGGAGTAACTGAATAGCTTGAACATTTGTTGTAGCAAAGTTTGAAAAACTATATTTAAAAGAATTTACAACACCATTAACAAGAAAAACAAGAACATGTGTTGCAATTTAATCAGCTTTATTCAGAGTTGCATAGTTAATATTAGTATCACCAAGGTCAACAAATCCTGTAAGATCACCAGAATCTTTATCCCATACCAAATTTTCTTGAATTTTCATTTCATCTAAGAAAAGTGTAACAAACCGTTCTTGATCAGAAAAATCCTTCACCTTTAAACTTAGTTCATTCATAATTTCATAGTTAAAACCTCTTTGTGGTCGGATATAGTTTTTGTAGTCTCTTAAACGCCTTTGACTTGGTAAAACGACAAAACCAGAATTAGTTTTTTCATTGAAACGAATTTCCTCATAGGCAGCAGGTGACTTTGAAACAAGACCTAACCAATAGCGAATAATCATTGAATGATAATGAATTTCCTGTTTTGAAGTATTTAAGTATTTTTGTTTTTCATCCCAAAATATCTTCATAAACGGAGTGAGTGTACTATCATTTTTTGATATGATTGAAACCAAGTCTTTGTGTAGGTCATCACTGACAATTCCCATCCACAAATGGGATGATTTATTTAACTCCTGTTGCATTTCTTTGATGTTACCTTTAAGCAATTTATTTTCTAAACGGTAACTTGTAAGGTTAGTTTTACACATTCTGGTGCAGTTTTAGAAATTGGAGCTCTAAGTTTAGATGGAACAAGTAATTTATCACTTTTTTTCTTAACAGATATTTGGTTTTGAGACTGAAGGCATTGGCATCCTTTACAAATATCTTTTTCTTTAATAACAACATCACATAAAAGAGCTCGGGTATGTTCTGTTTGGTTTAAAGATAAAGAATAACTATTAAATAAATCAAAATTTTTAGGTATAACATGAAGATAGCCATGAGAGCTAATTAATTTATCTGGGATACCTGGACATATTATATATGACAGCAAAACTGAAATAAGATTACAAACAGTTATATTGAACATTGATCTTTTTAGATGCAAGTATATTTTATGATTATCTGGCAGAGCCCATAAAAATATATACGAATAGTAAACGAGAGGCTATCATCAATATAAATTTCGTACTTAGGAACAGTGTGAATATCGTTAATCTTAATCAATTTTAAAAAAGTGTCACTAATATTTACAATTCCAAGTTTTTGTAAACTAACACGTTTGACCAACTCCTTAAAAGATTTATATGATTTATTATGAACAGCTTAATCTGAAACAGAAGGTATAATTGATTTTTGTTACGCATACAGAAGAAGCTGATGCTTGTGCTTTAAAATTAAATATACACAAAGAAGAATATGGAATTGTTTTAACTGGAAGATTTAATGTTGGTAGTGAATCTGGTTTTAAAGTTGTTTTATTTGGATTAACAACTAACATATTAGCTTCGTAATACTTTTCACAAATAAACAATAATATTTTTTTTATTTGGGACCTAAGGCTTTCATTGACTACTCTAACCTTAGTTATGATATTCAAAACTTTTATTCCCCATTTTTTATTGAAATCATCGGAGGATGGTATTTTAAAAAGTGAAACACCTTTATTTCTTCAAGAAGTACCACAGCCAAAAATGGAACAATTAGCACCAGACATTTGCAAATAACAAGGTTAAATAAATATTTTTTTTGTTAATATATAATTTTTAATGCGTCTTACAAAAAGTGTGCACTCATAGGTAGACTGGGTTCTAAAAAAAGCTAACAATAATATAAACAATAGCGCTCTTAAACTGGCCGGACTATGTATATTAGGACTATGATTAAATGATATAAGTGTGAAAAAAATAACTATTTTTATATATATATAGGTTCTTACTATATTTTTTTTCAAACACAGTTCATTTTCTTCATACTTGTCTTTTAACTTTGTTAACTGTTCTTCCTAAATATTTCAAAATTATCAAGTATATTAATGTTTATATAAAAAAATTTTTTTTGATAGTTATTATAAATTGGTTGAGCTTTGAAAGAAACTAAAGAAGTTTTGATGAAAAAAATGTTATTAGAGCTAATAATTTACCATTATATTCATTGATTCTTTCAGAAAAATATTTTTCTCATTTTCATAAGATTGTTTTTCTTTCATCATTTTATCCTGGAAAAATTAACATAATTTTACTTTATGTTTTTAATTTAGTATTTATGTTTATAATAAACAAAGTTTTTAATAGTGTTAATCTTAACTATGCTATTAATTATCTTTGATCTTTTTAATTAAAAAAATGCCATATCACATTTTCTTTTTTTTTTTATTATTCACTTCCTCAAAGCTGTTAAGGCTACTGCAGTCAGAGGAGACTATCAAGGAGGCTACATTTTTAATATTTTTTAAAAACTATATTGTGGTTACAACCATTTCTCGATTATTTAATTCCAAAACACAAATTGTGCCAAACTATGGAGACCACTGCACAAAGAAACAAGATCTATGAGTCAGGTTTCAAAACCAAGACTAATTTTAACAAGCAATTTTTTTACCATAAAAATTTTGTTGAGCAATTTTTTTAACAGGTGAAATATATTAAAAACTGCAAAAATTTTAGTAAAAAATATTTTTAACATATGAAATATTTTGACAATTGTGAAATTTTTAGTAACCAATATTTTTAGCATATGGAATATATTAACAACTGTGAAAATTTTAGCAATATTTAGAAATTTGTAGAAATTTTGATCAGCAATATTTATTATGTAGAAACTTTGATAAGTAATATTTATTACGTAAACATAATTTTTGGTAGAATCGTGGGGTAAAGCATAAATGGCAATAATGTTTATCTGACGGAATAAGCTAAATTGAAACGCAAATAAACTAATTGAAACGCGAGTAACAATAAGCGTAATTCTGAGGAGAAGTTTATAACCACCGCTACATAAACTATGATTACACAATAGCAATAATATTTTTTCTTTATCTTATACCTCCTATCATTTTATATTTATTCATTTTAAATATTGATATATCTATACTTATCAGGCCTTGTGATGAATCAAAACTACGCAACGCATAAGCACAACATGATTTTTGATGTCATTAAATTCTTTTTATTTGCTTTTTATATTTATCGACATTAAATGCACCAATTTACTAAATTACAGCAAAACTACTTTAAATCATTTATGTAGAAATGTTATTATTTAAAAATGTTTTGGAATGTTTCGTTTTTGAAAATGTAAAAACATTTGTTTATTTTCTTGACGTTTGACACATTTTGTCTAACTAAACGAATAAAAAACATTATAACTAATCATTTAAAAAAGATTATAAAATATGCTAATATTTGATTTTTTTTTTTTCTCAAATATGTAATTTAAAGTTTTTCAAATAAATATTTTTTCTTTTTAAAAAGTCAGCGAGGAATAAACTGGAAATTTTAATATTGTACGATTAAAAACTGTGCAATAGCTAATATTTTTACCAACAAATTTATATAATATTTATTTTATTTATTTTTATTTATTTTCATAAAACGGTTGATAAGCACAATCACTCGTATTACTAAAAAACTTTAACGAATGTTTTCAATAGATTTTTAATATTTACCAGAAATTTTATTTCTAGTAAAATAAAATCTACTTACACTAGTTGTAGTAGTAAAACAACTTTGTTTTTTTTTTAAGAAAAAAAATTAATGCACGTTTCATATATGTCCTCATTTAGATATACTATATATCTAAATGAGGACATATATTTATATTTTAAGTTTTATGAAATGGCTTATGATTACAGGTTGCAAATTAACTTTTATTTTATTTTTTTACGTTTATTGAGCCTTTTTCAGGGTGTTTGTGGAAATTCGCTTTACATTGGTAGAAACCGGGTAACAAAACCAGGTTATATAAACTTATCAAATTATTGACAATCTATTTTTCAGCAGCTGTTTTTGAGCACGCTTTGTTGAGTTTTGGTAACTTTTAACAAAAAAGCGATTGTTATTAAGTAGTTTTTTTTGAGTTACTTTTTAGAAAAATTTTAAGAACTGCACTTTTTTATTGAATCAAGTAGAATACGTTTTAATATCAATCTTTTTATTTTTTTATTTGTGCTTACCAATTTTTAGAATGTTTCCTCGAAACTACTCTTAAATACTTTGAATACGTCTAACAGTTAATAAATATTTTTGAATCTATGGAATAATTTTAAAACCTAACAAACCCTTTGGGGCTTAATGATAAGACTAAAATTGTCTTCTTCTAGCCCCGGTCATGTAACTATTTTTTTTTATAAGTTACGACTGTAAATTTTTTTTTATCGGCAAAAGTGTAAATAAATAATAAAAACCCCCGTAAAATAATGATTTAAGTTAAAAATCTAAAATTAAAAGAAAGTTTTTTTGTTCAGTTTTATCGACAACTTTGCTATTGCTGAATAATTTTATTAAAATGTTAGCTTAAAAAGATTTGAACTTTTTTTTTAATCTGAATTTTTTCTACTTGTAAATAATGAGCATATTTAATTTTTTTGTAATTCAATTTTTTATATCAACAGCGCGCGGTTTTTAAAATACTTTATTAAATGTTAAAATAATCGTAAATTACTTCATTAAAATTCCGCTCAAAAATATCTTTAAATATACTCAAACAAAAATTTTTTTGCTTGACGCAAATAGCCCTAGCTACATGCAAAATTGCTCTTGGACGATGTAAAATTCACATCACCCGACGCTTTATCGCAAGGCCTGACATATGTATATTTGTTTTAAGTATGTGAAACTTTTGTATTTACTGTAGATTTATGGTTACTTATGTGTCCTGTTTTGTTCTTATTACATTTCTTACATGCACTGTGTCTAAATTATTATTATTACTTTTTACAAGACTCTTTATTATAGTTTTGTTCTGAACATCTGTTCAATATATATTTTTAATTTTTTATATTTTCTCTCTTCCTAATTTTTTCCTTATTTGAATTGGGCTTTTCAGCTTGGTCTAGTCCTTTGATGCATATTTTTGCATTTTTTTTAATTAAGTAAACATAATTTTTGGTAGAACACTATTAGTGAGAATTAAACTTAGAATAGAAATGAGATAAAACTAAAATTTATAACAGCAACCTGCATATCTTTTAATTGATTGTAATTTTGTTCTGTCATTTTTGCAATTTTGTCTTGCAAGTCTGCAATTTCTCTGCAATTAAAAACATATCAAATTTAGAAATATAAAAACACATAAATATATAATACAAAAAATAACAGTTAGAAATAAAGAAATAAACTTTAAAGAATTAAATTTCACTTAGAACATTAGAAAATTGATGCATTAAAATTTGTTTAAAAAATAAAACCTGTTTTACTTAAAACCTGTTTTTTAACTGAATTTGTTGATCATAGTGCATAAGTTGCTGAGCATTATCTCCAGAATTTCTTGAAACCTTTAAAACCTCTTCCTCCTGCATGTTTTTGAAGAAATAATCTTGTTTTGAAAAAACATTTTGAACAAACAATAATAATAAAATTCATTATCTACGCACCAGCCATTTTTTATCTTCAATGTATTGATTAACACGACATTCTGCCACTTCAAGCTTTGCTTTTATAGCTATGAAGTAATTTTATAGCTATGAAGTAATAGTTTTATAGCTATGAAGTAATATAATCATAGATATGAAGTAATCATGAGATCAAATGTTGATAACAATCTCAGGATCAAATGTTTGATGACATAAATTTAAATAATTGTTCATAAAATAATTTATTTGCTATTATTGCACAATTTCAGAGAAAAAAAACTAACTCATTTGGAAAAACAACGAGAATAAAAATTTATTTATATTTTACTCTCTTGGAGATAAAAATTTTGGATAAAATTTTGTGTCTTGTAGATAAATATAAAACAACTAGAAAATTTTTAATTTTAAATAATCACACTTCATCACATAGTCATTAAAATCTTGAAATTAAGAAACATGAAGGTATAATAAAAATATACCTATGTGCTCTTTAAGAATTAATTCATTAGATTCTGTAACAGACTGAATTTCAGCACACTTCTTTTCCAGTTCGTTATTTAATTCTGTTTACATAAAAAATTAAAAATACACAAACATTAATATTAGTTAAAAAAAGAAATACAAAATAATAAAACTTTGTCAAAAATATTTACCATAAATCTGTTGATTAAGTTTCGACTCAATGTTTAACTTAAAACAAAATTAATTTTATTAAAACAAAAAATAAAGCAATAGAATAAAAATGGCTTAAATATTGTTAAAAATAACCTACAATGTTATAAATATACTATGTTATAAATATTCATTAAACATGTTTATATAACTTATCTAACAACAATTTAAATACTTGTTAACAAGAATGTAGAGTCCCAAAAAGACAATGGATTTGAAAGTTACAAAAAGATTATTTCTTTCTGGTTTTTAATATACAAAAGCTCTAAAAATGTAAAGAAGCTTATAGACTAATTTTATGAAAAAACTGGCACTCTTAAATTAGAATAAAAAATCAATTTTTGAATTCTGGGTCCTTTAGTCATTGAGACATAAAACAGATCATAAGTCAACCAACATGTTTAGAGCTCCTGGACATCAGAGACAAGAAAATAGTCGGAGTCCTTTAGGGATTCTTCACACCTGCTCATTAACAATAACATGTTTATATAACATATCTAACAATGACTTGAATAAATTAAAAAGGAAACTTGAAAAAATAATTTAAAAAATATTACAGAATCTAGAATGAAAAATACAAATGATTGCAAATATAAAAAAAAATATATGATTTAAATGAGAAGCTTTAAAAGATTTTAATGCTTCTTCATTAACTTAACCACTCAATTACAAATTTACTCAAACAAAAAATAGAAAGTTTTTGGAATTTGTATTTAATTAATTTAAACCGAAAAACTTGACCACCCAATAACAAATTCACTCAAACCAATAAGATAAACTTGTTCGCAAAAAAAAAAAAAAATAAAAAAAAAAATTTATACAGTTTTAACTCTTTTTTAATCAAGTTTTACTCACTAGCTCCTCAACTTTTAATTCGAAACTTTTTGAATCTTTTTCATTGCTTATTGTACTGAGTTTGTCAATTTGCTCTTTAAGTTTCTTGATCTGTTCTTTAAGCTTATTATTCTCTTCTACTTCAAGGTTGATGTTGTTCTTACATAAGAAACAAACAAAATATTAAATGTTGTTCTTACATAAGAAACAAACAAAATATTAAATGTTGTTCTTACATAAGAAACAAACAAAATATTAAATGTTGTTCTTACATAAGAAACAAACAAAATATTAAATGTTGTTCTTAGATAAGAAACAAACGAAATAATAAATGTTGTTTTTACATAAGAAACAAACAAAATATTAAATGCAATTCTTACATAAGAAACAAACAAAATACATCATAAATATTACTTACTTTTGCTATTTCCAGGAGTTCTTGTAGTTTGTCAACCTCCTGATTCTTTGCATGCAGTTGCATTTCTTTTTCATCCACTTTGAATGTTTCTTCCTCACATAAAATTTTCAACTTTTCTAATTCAAGCTGCATGTTAAGCAAGTCTTTGTCTTTTTCATTTAGTTTTATCTCAATATCTTTTTCCTTTTCATGATATAAAGAAATCTAAATAAAAGAAAATTAGGTTTTAGATTTTAGTATACAACAACTTTCTATCAGAAAGTTCTATTGATTATTTAATATATTTTCTAAAATTCTGTTGTCTTTGAAATCAAATTTAGTGGACACACACTTCACTGGTTGAATTATATTTATTAATAATAAATAGAAAAAACACAAAACGTAGATATACAGTTTCTTGGTTAAATAAAAAAAAACACAAAATTTTGATATACAGTTTCTTGGTTAAAAAGAAAAAAAAAAAAATGTGGATATACAGCTTCTTGGTTAAAAAGAAAAGGCACAAAATGTGGACATACAGTTTCTTGGTTAAAAAGAAAAAAAAAAAAAAATGTGGATATACAGCTTCTTGGTTTATAACTGACAAAATATTAAACACTTATAGAGATAGAGGTCTGGGCTTCAATAGTTAAGTTAAGGTTGGTAAAATCTCTCTGTTTGTTTTATTTGTATGTGATATCTGTATGTGTAGAACTGTGTGATATTATGTATAGATCTCTGCATTTGTATTTAATACCTATGTATGTGTTAAAAAGTTGTTTGCTAGTGGAGGTAATAAGTATTGGTAAATCACAATTTTTAATTTTATCTTAAATTTTTATTCTTCCTTTGAATCTTTTTTTAGTGGTGAGACTTCTTTTTTAAATAAGGTATTAAATCAGTCTATTATAAAAAAAAACTTATTTATTTGGTAGTTAAGCTTCTAATGCAAAATATTTTTTTTTTTCTTGTTAATAAAAAAAAAAAATTACTTTTTTTTCTTCAGAAGCCAGAGTATGCATAGCAAGCTCTTCATACTGAAAACGCAAGTCCTCAATTTTTCTAAAATAACATTGAATAAAAATTTTCTAAAATTGTTTTATATATAATAAATTTGATTATTACTAACAGTGTAGAAAATAAAATAAAGTCTTAAAATTTAAAAAAACAAACTGCTTGTATTCATTTAATTCATTTTGCATATCATGTTTCTCTCTATCGTGTTTTGCTACTTGATTTTGCAATTGAAAGTTGCTCTCTTGTATACGAAGAATCTAAAAATAATAATTTTTTTTTTTTTTTTTTTGCAAAGAATGTAAATGTATTATAACTTTTTGGTACTCCAGTTGGCAGGGTTGCCAGAACTTTCTACATGGTAAAAGTTGAAAGTTGCCAAAAAATAATGCCATTCTTCCCTGAAAAATTCTAACAAAATTATAAAAGCTCTTTTAATGATTTTAATGCTTTATTTTTATAAAATCATAAAAAAAGTAAATTTTTATAAAATTATATAAAAAGTAAATTTTTATAAAATCATATAAAAAGTAAATTTTTATAAAATCATATAAAAAGTAAATTTTTATAAAATCATAAAAAAAGTAAATTTTTATAAAATCATTTAAAAAGTAAATTTTTATAAAATCATATAAAAAGTAAATTTTTATAAAATCATATAAAAAGTAAATTTTTATAAAATCATAAAAAAAGTAAATTTTTATAAAATCATTTAAAAAGAAAATTTTTATAAAATCATGTAAAAAGTAAATTTTTATAAAATCATATAAAAAGTAAATTTTTATAAAATCATGTAAAAAGTAAATTTTTATAAAATCATATAAAAAGTAAATTTTTATAAAATCATATAAAAAGTTGTTTTTTTTTTAACAATTATAAAAATCTATTAAATTAAAAAAAAAAACTCTTTTCACATTAGGGATTGCAATAACAAGGAGACCAGAAAGGTTTTGTACCCTAATTTTTTTTTTCCTCAAACATTTAAAATAAAATGTAAAAAAATATTTAAAAATTTGTTCAGCCCCCAAAAAGGAAATCATTGCTGCAATCCTTGCACATGGTAAATACATAGCTATTTTATTATTCCTTTATTACACATCACTTTTATTGAAGTTATACTAAGAGAGTTCTACTAAGTAAACTTTATACTGAGAAAAAAAATTGAGAAAAAAATTGATGAAAGAATTTGTAGAAAAAAAAATATAAGTTTTTACAAAACATTTATTTTTTCTTCCATTTGATACATGTCAGTAATCCAAGTTAAATCTTTATTATTTGAGTTAATGCTGTTATTTTTTATAAGATCAAAAGCATTTAGCTTGTATTTTTTATAAGGTCACAAACATTTAGCTGGTGTTTTCTATAAGATCATAAACATTTTGTGTGTGTTTTTCTCAAGGTCACAAACATTTTGTTTGTGTTTTTTATAAGGTCACAAATATTTGGTTTGCATGACTTTTGAAGTCTTTGCAACACTTTTTGCAAAGACTTCAAAGGTCATGCAAAGTAGAATCCATTTCACTGATTTGAGCAGTTTTGTTAACAATCTGTGTTTTTGTTTGTTCTTTAATTTCAGCCTAAACATTTTGAAAATGCCAAAATAATGCCATTTAATGTCACAAGTTTAAAATTCTCCAAAAAAAAGCCAAAACAGCATTCTGTAATACCATCTGGCAAACCTACCAGTTAGTCCTATGAAAAATAAATGAACCAAAAGTTCTTTTGTTCGTCATACGTTTAATTTACTTTTTGAAACAGATCATAGATAGCATGACCCACCAATACCCTTAATAACACAGTGCATCCCATGTATCAAATTTTTATTTCTTTTACCCTAAATAATTTTACTTATTCTTTAATCTGCATAACTTTTTGAGCTTTTTGAAATAGAATGAGCATCATTTTTGATTGCATATTTTCTAATAATATAATTGATAAAATAATATAATGACAAATGATATAATATTCATTAAAATTTACCTTTGTAGCTGTTTTTTCTTTATCAGCCTTTAAACTATGCAGTTCATTTTCTTTGTTATATAGTTGACTCTATCAATAAAATGTTAAACATGACTCTAATAATTTTGTTTGTCACAATGATAAATTAATTTTAATAGAGTAATTTTTATAGAAAATAATTAAGTATAGTGTGCATAAAAAAAAGCAGGAAAAAAAATATAAAAAAAAAAATTAAAATAAAATCATTTAATCAATCTATATTTTTTAAATCACATATTTTTTTTGTAAATGATTAGTCAGGTACACCTCTAATGATTAGACAATTATAAATACTTAAATTACTTAAAGGGATCTCAAACCTGTTTGAGATCTCTTTAAGTATCCAAGCAGTTTGCCCAAAAGATTATGTAAACAAACAAAAGTCAATGACGTCATGTACTAAAACTCTTAGGAATAAAACACGCTTGAATAAATTATCAAGTCTGTAGATTAAGTGTATATTATGCTGACTTTTAGGCCTATAAATAAAATGGAGAAGGTGAGCTTCAACTAAAATAAAAAAGTTACTTTTTCTAGGTATTTATTTATTCTTTTGTTTTAATCAAAGAAACTTAGCCCAATATATTTTTTTTTATCATTCTCTTTAATATGAACACAGAGTGTCTCGGAGATTCGGGATCCCTTTAAATAATAATCATTTATTTAAATAATATTCATTTATTTAGTGCTTTTTTGATTTTTATGAACTGTTTCTAAATCAAGCAAAAATTATTAAATCTTCACTAAAAACTATTTATAAACTCATGCAGCCAAACAAAACTACAATTAAATATTAATCACAGTGACGCCTTGTTACAATAAAATTAGATGTTACAACCAGAGATGCAAAGTTTTACTGTATAAGAAAATTACTAAAAACTTATGCTTTTTTAAAGCTTCAAATTAAAAGCCATAGCTGTTGGATATTGAGAATTAATGAGAACAATGGATAAAGAAAACAAAATCAAATGCCCTTTAATAGTGGAAGACATCAGATATAAAAGATGGTATCAGTGTAATCACAATTAGTATATATAAGAGAATCTATATATAAATTTATAAATATAATTTATGTATAAATTGAAGAGGAAGAACAAAAAATATAAAAGAAATAAGAAATTTTTTTATTTACTTCATGGTTAAAAAAAAAATTATTTAAATTTTCACCTTTTTTTCTTCAGCAACAACAGCAAGCTCTTCTAATTGAAAATGTAACTCTTCATTTTTTCTAAAAATGAAAACATAATTCTTCATTTTTTTTTTGAATTAAGATTAAACATCTGAGAAAATTAGAAATTTTGTATAAAATTATGCTGAAGATAAAAAAAATTACTGCTTGTATTCATTTAATGTGTTTTGTATTTCTTGTTTTTCTTTCTCATTTTTTGCAATTAGGTTTTTTAATTCTTGCTCATGAAACTAATAGTAATAAATAAAATTAAAGCAATTTTTTTTTCATTTTTTAATCAAAAATTTATAAAAAAATAAACTACTTGAAATATATATATATATATATATATATATATATATATATATATATATATATATATATATATATATATATATATATATATATATATATATGTATATATATATATATATATATATATATATATATATATATATATATATATATATATATATATATATATATATATATATATATATATATTCCAAAAACATAAATTTAAGTGATTGTTTAAAGGGTATAGCATTGTAATAAGCAAAAAAATAACTTTCACAAAGATGCTGCAACAAAAAATCGCATAATTTATAATTCACATGAATTTCAAAATTATAAAAAAAAATAAAACTATGAAAAATAAATTAACTTTGTAAGACATTATTTTTCTGGTTTCTTTAACATAATGAGCTGTAATATTCAAATCACAAAAGTAGAAACCAATTCATAATGCTTCTGTCATTAGAATTAGATTTAATTTTGGAAAATTACTGTTGTAACTTATTCTTGTAAAAACATGGATAAATTTATGACAATTACAACTTTCTAGTACTTTATTAAATTACCTGTGTTTTTTCTTTATCTGTCTTTAAGCTATAAATTTCAGTATCTCTGCTATGAAGTTCATTTTCTTTGCTATGAAGTTGACTCTTTTAATTAAAAATTACATAATGAATTTCATGCAACAACATTTATTCATTATAACAATATTCATTATAAATCATAAAACTTACAATTCCATTACATACACAATATATAAAATTAGCATTATTACAGCATATTAATAATTAAAACTAGCATAATTAAAGTTAAAATTAAAGCATAGAATGCTGGGATGAGCTGCATATTTTTATATGCAGCTCATTCTTATGGTACTTCAAAAAACAGCAAGTAAAAAATACCGTACAATAATTTATGAATTTCTGTAATATTTAATTACAGAATATTTATTTTTGAAAGGTTTTAGACAATCATTACATTTAAAACATTTGCATTAAAAGCAAATTTTTAAATAATTACATTAAAACTATATTTTAATAAGATTACATTAAAACCATATTTTAATAAGATTACATTAAAACCATATTTTAATAAGATTACATTAAAACCATATTTTAATAAGATGTTCAAAGAAGTATGCAGTCAAAACTTCAAAAATACTTAAAAACCTAATTAAAACAAAAATCAACTTAAAAAAAATCAACATTACCATTTGTCTATGTTCAGAATTATTATTTATTTATGCTATATTAATATTTTAATAGCCTTATGCTAGTTTTATTTTTAAAAAGACATTAAAAATTAACCACCTTTTGTACTCCATGTAACTAAACTAATTTCATCATAGCGAATCACCAGGAGTACTGTGCACTGCAAGGATATTTAAATACTTGTACCAAAACATAAATGATATACGGATATCATGTGAGTTTAAACAAGGATATTTATTACAACAAAAAAGAATATTGCTAGTTTATTTTTTTTTCATTGAAAAAATTGTCTGATATATTTTTGTGTAAAAAACACACACATATATAAATTACATTAAATACTTGTAGCAAAACTTAAATGATATACCGATATCATGTGAGTTTAGACAAGGATATTTATTACAATAAAAAAGAATATTGCTAGTTTATTTTTTAAAATGGCTGATATATATATATATATATATATATATATATATATATATATATATATATATATATATATATATATATATATATATATATTTATATATATATATATATATATATATATATATATATATATATATATATATATATATATATATATATATATATATATATATATATATAGCGCTCGAAATAAGGCGAGGTGCCAACCTGTCGCCTTTTTATAAGTATAAATTATCCTGTCACCTTTTTGTCCTAATATAACATTGATAAGTGGGACAGCATTTTTAATGCAATTATATAATATTTGTACATATTAGGATGATTCAGAACATCATACAAAAAATAAATATAATTGAAACCTTTCATCTCAAGGTTGCCTGTGTTCCTTGGTCAATTACTATTCTAAATAACCACAGATTTTATTATTTGAGGCACATTTAGGGGTTGCTATGATTTGAATATTCTTACATATTTTTTGTATTATTTTTTATATACTTTTATTTATTTTGAATTATTTGTAATATGTGTCACTGATTAATTTTTATTTAATTAATTACTACTGATGGCAGTCATCTTTCTGTTTTCTACAATATAAAATCTTCTGTCTGTACAGTGAATGCACTAATGAAAATTTTCACTTGCACTAGAGTATACACGATATAACACTGTTTATACCTTGTTGTTTATACTGCTTGTAACTAATGGATTACCTTATATATTGCTTAAACTGTTTGTAACTAATGAATTTATTACCATCACTTTTTTTACCAGAACTTTAAAATGCTGAAAGAAAAGTAAAAAAACTGTAAAAAAGTAAAAGAACAGAAGCAAAAAACTAGATAATTGCAGAACAAAAGAAGAAACTTTCCAGGCTGATCTTGCAGAACTATTTGATCTTTTAACTAAGGATGCTCTAAATACTAAGAAAAATGAACAACATAAAAACTTTCTGACAATGCAACAGTAGGATCTTTAAACCTGCAGCATGACAGGAGTGGACCAGTCACTAGTAGCTAGATAAAATTGAAAGCAACAAAGAGAAACCCAAGCTTCAGCTTGGGTTTCTCTGTGTCTAAATAGCAAAGTTGAGTTGCAAGAGCATATCGAATTAATTTTATCCTGGTCAGTGAAAGAACATGAAAGTGCCAGTCAAACTGACTCATCAGAATCAGATCCTGATAAATATTACACCCCCAACTCCTTCCACCTCCAATACAAGCAGTTCGAAGTAAAAAAAAAACCTCACCAAGAGTGTAGCATCATCTCTGGATAGGGCAAACATTTCTGACTATCGAGCAATCTTTATTGTATAGTTTGTTCGTTTAAAAAATTATATACAATTGAAACTATACAGAAAAAACCTATACGAAAGAAACTTTTTTTATTGCTACGACTGTGTGTATCTAATCTTCAGGTTTGTGGTTGCTCAATAGAAACTTATTTGGCTCTTGGACAACCTGTTGCAGAGCTGGCATTATCATTCAGCACTATCTGTAGGGAATGAATTAGCAAGTTGTTGCAAAAGCTTTCCATCATCATCTTTAGTGCTTTTTGGAAGACTTGGTATGATTAGGCCTCTTTCATTCAGGCGTTGATGACAATACCAAGAAGGAGATGGTTAAAAATCTACCGCATCAGCCATAAAGAAGGTTCTCAAGCAACTAGATAGTGAAAAATTCAACCAAAAAAGTCTTTTATATAATTTTGCCACACAGCCTACGGTGGAACTCATTGATCTCCTGTTCAACAATGGTCAAGAGAAAGCAGTCAGTCCTTTAAAAAGAGCCACAAGAATGGTCAAAAGACCTAGTTTATATTAAAATTGCATTTTAAGAATCGTCAAATGAAGATTGCTGATGACTGTATCGAGAGAGCCAAAGCTCTAATGATGATGAAGATGACTGCTATAAAGTAATACAACACTAATAGAAACAAAATGAACATGGTCTACATTGTTGAATAACATTTTTAAACTACAAAATATAATTTGTTACAGTTGATAACATTGGTCAAAAAAATATCTAAAATTTTCAATTTTTTGACTATGAGATCAATAAAGTCACAAAACATAGCAACCTATATATATAATACAATTTGTATAAAATTTGGTCCCCAAATTACTTTTCTCATACAAAATAGGGACAACCTTGAAGAAAACCAAAATTTTCAAAATTAATATTCTGAATCACCCTAGTACATATATAATATATCAGAGCCCTGATATATATATATATATATATATATATATATATATATATATATATATATATATATATATATATATATATATATATATATATATATAGCAAGTGCGCATATAAATATGCTATATATAGTGTAGTGATGCTATTTTGTGCATATACTATCAAGAAAGTGCTTAATAAAGTCAGAGCTATAATATATATATAGTAGAAAATAAAACTACGTGATTTTCACAACTTTAAGTTTCATGCTGTTGCAATCATCAGGTGAAATACAAATATAGTTTGTTCGTTTAAAAAATTATATACAATTGAAAATATACAGAAAAAACCTATACGGAAGAAACTTTTTTTATTGTTACGACTGCGTGTATCTAATCTTCAGGTTTGTGGTTGCTCAATAGAAACTTATTTGTGTCGTCACGAAAATAAATTTCTATTGAGCAACCACAAACCTGAAGATTAGATACACACGGTCGTAACAATATAAAAAAGTTTCTTCCATATAGGTTTTTTCTGTATAGTTTCAATTGTATATAATTTTTTAAACGAACAAACTATATTTGTATTTCACCTGATGATTGCAACAGCATGAAACTTAAAGTTGTGAAAATAGTAGTTTTATTCTCTACTATATATATATATATATATATATATATATATATATATATATATATATATATATATATATATATATATATATATATATATATATATATATATATATATATATATATATATATATATATATATATATATATATATTATATATATATATATATATATATATATATATATATATATATATATATATATATATATATATTCAGCCATTTAAAAACCTAACTTTAATTTGTTATTTCAATTAAAATGAAAATGGCAACTCAAATGCTCAAATTATAATTTTAAATAAAATAATAAATAAATTTTAAATAAATTTTTGCCAATTTGTTGATTCTATAAATATTTGATTCTATATATTTTTCATGTTTAATATTGCTATTTTCTTAGTATGACATTTTTAAGAGATAACCTTTTTTTTTTAATTTTTTTAAGCTTTAAAATTATTCTTCCATGCTCTGAAAAATGTTTTTCAATTTTAAACAAGAGGAAAAAATTCATCAGGCTCATCAATTTTTTCCTGCAAAAGTTTTCCTTACTCATACAACTAACAGATTTTTTATATTTCCTGTCAACCATTTACTTGTTCCATCATTTAAAATATCTTGAATAAAGCCTCAAGCATTGTTCGAAATAAATTGTTTTAAAAAATTCAAAATTTTAGATAAAACCTGTTTTACTTAAAATTTCAGGTTCAACTGTTTACTCAAATTATTTTTTGTCTCTTCAAATTTATTTTAAAAGTTTAACTTTTGTTAAAAGAACTTTAGTTTTAGGAGAAGTACTTATGAGAATATAAAATAATACAAAATTATAAAACATTAAGGAAAATATAAAATGTTAAATATAAAAAGAAAAAATTATATGGATTCTTATATATTTTTAACAGTACTTTCGCTTTTTTAACAATTTTTTCACAGCTTATTTTATTACTTTACCTTTTTTTTTACAATATATACACTAATTTATAACAACAAAAAATTGGTAAAATAAATTTATAATAAATAACTAAATCTAATTGTTTTTAACAAAAATTTAAGTCTTTTATTTTAGAAAACTCGATAATCATTTAACCAATCAATTTATTCAAAATATTTCTTTATCACTTTAACAAATCGCATTTTAAATTATAAAAACACGTTTTTGCTTACTTGTAAATCACATAATTTTTTCTCCAACTCTTTCATATAACTGTTATTAAGTACATTTTCTTCTAATTGCAGTTTTTCTTGTGCTGTATAGGTACTGGGAGGATTAGCCTCAAGCTCAAACTAAAATTTAATTGTTAAAAATTATAACAAGATTGCTTTTTTAATTAAAAATATCTTTAAATGAGAAAAGCTGTTAATTTTAATGAACCTGTCTCAACTTTTTTTGAGTTAAGCTTTCGGCAAGTCAGCTCATTAAAATTAAAATACACATTAAAAAACAAAAATATAAACCAAATAAATTTGTTTATTTAATTAAATTTTTTCAAACTATTTGTTAAACTTTTTAAAAATTATTAACATTATTGTTAATAATTAAATGCATCTCATACAGTTAAGGCTTGCATATCCATGTCTTTAATTCATAGAAAAAGAAATACAAAACTTTAACACAATTTTCTGAAAAACTTCTGAAGGTCTTTGAACTTTTTTTTTTTAATTATTTTTTTAAAAATGTAAATTTTTAAAAGTTTTTTAAAATCTTCTAATTTTATTTTTAAAGAACAAATCTAAACAAATTTTTAAAGTAAATTTTTATATTTGCTTTAATATTTTACTTTTGTAAAAATAAAAAAACCCTCTCTCTAGAAGGGGTTATCTATTAGTGCAAACCTCTCTTATTTTGTCTCACATTTTAAATAGAGGCTGACAACTTTATGGCATACATTGTTTTCCCACTCTATTAAAACACATATGAAATTGCTAATTTATAGAAACTTGAAAAGTTTCCAAAATAACCGAGGCTGCAAAGTTGCTTGTAATAAAGTTTTAAGCAAATCAGGCATTACAAGTTTTTCCAGGCATTACAAGTTTTTACTTTAGCTAAGACTTGGCAAAGATAATAATCTTTTAAACTAACTGCATTTTAAACAGATTTAATTATAGATTATTATGTGAAAGATTTAACCCCTTGACCATACTTTTAACCACCTTAGGAAAAAAAGTTTTAAGCACCATCAATATGTTTTATATTATGGTATGTTTTATATTATGGTACCTTTTGATAACCAGGCAGATAAAAGTTGATTATTATGATAAATTATAAATTTTACATCTAAGCATTTTTATTGCAACCATCAAAGTTAAATAAATATTTACTAAAATAATTCTCTACATTAAAAAAATTTATATTGAAATTTTATATATTTATTTATATATATTTTTATTCTTGTCGATAAGTTGTTAGATATATCAAAGACGTTTATTGAGTTTAATCAATTTTTATTTTTTCAAAACAATTTTTTACACATTTGCTAAGTGCCCGCAAATTAACGATAATTAATATGCAATGATTGTAAAATATTATCCATTGATACAAAATAGTGAACTTTTCTCAATTTAGTTCTTTTAACTTATTTACTAATTAAAAAACATATAATCTTGAAAAAATTAAAATATAAGGAACTAAAAATAAAAGTTGTTTTGAATGATTTCTTTTTTTTAGAACCTTTAAAAATAATAATATCATATAAAGATTTAATAGCAAGTTAATAAAAATATCATACTCATGTTATAAAACACACAATATAAAATGAAAACTATAATAAACATAAAAAGTCTATTCTTTCAGATCATATATATTTCAGCAAACTTAAAAATTTTTTTCAAAACCTTCATTATGTTAACAAACAGGTAGTTGGTAAAATGGGAAGTGCAAACCAGGAACTGCAAACTGGTAAAATGCAAACTTTTTGCAAACCAAGACATTTTTTAATGCCACTACAGTTATGATATTTTAAAAAAATGCTCATCAATTTTTTCATTTAAATTAAATATAATGAAATTCGATATATTTTATTTAAATGAGATTGTATTTCTTATAAATCAAATATAATTTATACTTCTGCTAGAAGTCCATAAAATATATAGCAAAATCAACAATTTAAGGGCAAACTAAAAATAAAAAATATTACATCATTAACAACCAATAAGACTATGGCTTGCAAAAAAAGTTGGCATTTTACCAGTTTGCAGTTCGCATTTTACCGACTACCAAACAAACATTATTTCACTTTAATGAAAATATTAAAATATTTAAAAAAAAGTACGCTATTGAAAAAAGCAATCATAATATTTAAGCATGTTTTTTTTTAAGCATGTTTTTTTACTTGAAATAAATACATTTGCAAGTATTTGCAAATGCATTTATTTCAAGTAAAATAATGCATGCTTTAATAAACGTGTGCAAAAACCATGCTAAAGCATAATTACTTTCTGCAATAATTATTTTACTTAAAAGTAATGTTATTGAAGTAAGTAATCATGTTTTAGCATGGTTTTTATTTCAAGTCTTTGAAAATATGTTTTAAATTTAGTAACTAATTGTTTTTTTATTTTAAAGATGTGTTTTTTATAATAAATAAAAAATTATCAGAATTTTGAGGATACTTTAAAAGTTTAATTTTTTTGAGAGTAGGTGCCATCATGACCTAGATCTTGCTTTCAGTGACCTTTTTCGATACTGCTATTCGTTTTTGCATAAAGTTTTTTGTCATCTTTCGCTGATTTGTTGCTTTTCAACAAGATTCCTTTTGTAATTGCCCAGTAACATTCGATAACATGCTGCTCAGAGCAGTTAGGAGAATTTGCATCATTTGGATCAATTTCGATGTAATTTTGTTAATAAATGACAAAGGATATTTCAGTGACATACTTTTCACTATAGTGAAAGACATTCAGTGATGGACAAATTGGAAGTCAAAGTCTTTTAAGTGACAAATGAAGTCTTATGAAGTCTAAAACAATAACTTTATTTAAATGACTTTTAATTTTATTTTTTTTTTGAGACTGGTGAGGGTAAGTCTAAAGGTGACATTATTTTATTCATTATTAGTTCTCTCTGTTTGCTTTTGAGAAACATAAAATTTTTTTTTTAATACCCAAAGAATTTCCAATTGTTTCTACATCTCAATCATTTTTGATAAATAAAGTAGCTAAAAAAAGGAGGTATTTAAAAAAACTTTCATATCTTTTTACATTTTATGTTTACTTTTTACATTTTTTGTTAACTATCATACTGATACTTTATCTGATATTCTATCTACCATCTCATTTATCTTTGTTTATTCACCACCTATAATTGCTTTATAACTACCCCTTTACCTTTTTATCTACCCCCTTTATCCTAATAATAAAAATTTTTTCAAAAAATAATTAAAAAAAACTAAAAAATAAAAAAGCTTAAAAAAATAAATAATGAGACCGTTGAATCTATTGCATGAGTCTGAGACTTTAAAATTGATTTATGCGGAGTTATCTTGGATTCTTTCTTTCCTTTTTCAATAGATGTACTATTAGAATTTGCAATTGAAATGTCAGAATTTTTGATGGATGTATTCTTTACATTTGGAATCTTGCGCACTTTTTGCAGTTGCGTGAAAATTCCATGTTTTGGATCACACTGAAAATATCTATGAAGTATAAAAATAAATACAAAATACAAAAGAAATATATATAAAAAATGTATATAAACATAAATATGTGTGTGCGTGTTTGTGTCAATCTAATATAAAAAATATATCTAAGAAATACTAAAGATTTATAAATAATAAAAATATCTACGAAGTACAAGAATAAATATTTATGAACAAACAAAAACACAAAAATACTGAATTTTAAAAAAGCTGATAACTAATAAAAAATATTATTGGCTATCAAAAAATTTTTATCGCCATTAAAAAATTTTGTTTAGTTAATTTGAAAATTAACTTGTGTTGTACTGGACCATAAGTAACAGTTTAGAAATGCTAAACTGTTTATAAAACTACATATTTGTAAAAGCTTATGAAATTTTAAAAATATTATTTAAATATCCATTCTCTTTTTTCTATATGCATTTCTGCTTTAATTAAAATTTGAAATAACTTATTTAAAAGATTTTTTCTTTATCATAAGTTTGCTATGACTTTTTTCCAAACAAATTTTAGTAAATTTGCCCCATAAAAACAAAATACACGGTTTTACATAAACTATTTTGATGACAGGATAATTATCCAGATATCACAATTTGCAATTGCTCAAACCCTTGAATATATTTGGCTTTAAGAGTAAGAAAGGTAAAAAATGATTCTTTTGACATCCAATTATTATCTGGGTTGACTTAACACCAAAACCATTCAAATAATTGTAAATAATAAAAAAAAAAGAATAACAAAACAAATAAATTAGTGGCAAATGCATATAATTTAAAATGTTTTTTAAATTAATGCAAAAAGGCAAACTTAATTCACTTGAATCTTTTTTTTTATTATTTTTAACACAGAAAACATTTGTTCTTACTTTTTTTAAAGTTCTATACTGTTTTTACAATTTAATTTTATTAGTTTTATTTTACTGTATTTTTATTTTTATTGAATGATTTATTTAGAGATTGATGCAGCACTCTAAATGAATCATACAATAAAAATAAAAATACAGTAAAATAAAACTAATAAAATTGAATAGTAAAAACAGTATAAAACATTAAAAAAGAAAGAACAAACATTTTCTGTAATAAAAATAAAAAAAAAGGTGAAATAAAACCAATTAACGATGTATGTACACTTGATGTATGAGTCTACATACATCGAGTGACTTAATAATATTAATACTAGCTGGGGTGACCCGTAAAATACGGGTCTTTACCGAACCGACCATTTTTGTACTTATCTATAGCTATCCGGACGTAAACTAAGGGTCTTAGTAAATCTATTCTACACCGACCTTTTCTATACTTATTCCTTACCTCAATATTTTTTTAAAACCGTTTAAAAATGTACATATAAAAAACTATACTTACTTTTTGATATGACAAAAACATTTCTGTTAAAATGTTCTTTTAAAAACTTCAAACGATTTTAATATTATGCCGATTATAAAAATTTTAATAAGAAAAAACGTAAAAAAGACTACGAACTTAGAAAAATGCTAAAACATTCAACACGTGACGCCGTTAAAGTACGCCTTAGTTAACGTTCATAACATATACACATCTAATTAGATTTTATTTAAACTCAGTTGTTGCAAACTTGGTTTTGAATTTTTAATTACACTTCTTATGCGTCATAAATAATCTTAAATTCTAAATAGAAAATACGTTTATGGGCTAATTGGTAGACGCGCAACACTTAGACAGATATAGTCATCTTACCCCGGGAGTTCATACTCCAGTGACTTTTTTTTTTCATCCCAACTTACAACAAAAGTAATTAAAAATAAATGTTATCATTGAAACAGTTTTAAACATTTCTTCCTATTTATCTTTGAACTTAACTTTATTCACTGCAAACATACTTTTGGTGTTTGTAAGCGTTATTTTACGTTTAGTATTTGTAGGAATTATTTGCACGCACGTATTTTAAACAATTATTTTTACTGTTTCATCTAAAAATCTTATTTAATTTAGTTTAATAATTTCTTAAATATAATATATATAATATAATTTAAAATATTTTATTAACCCTATTTAAATAAGTATCAAAACTCTTTCCTTTAATTTAAAAAGAATTTAAAATTAACGTAGGCTATAACGATATTTTACCCTTTCATCAACATTTATTTAAAAAGTAAATTTGGATATAGAAAAACGGGTTAAAGACTTATTATTTTAAATAAGTTAGCTTTATCTATTTAATGCTTTTCGTAAAAGCGTTTCTTTAAAGACTCTTAACAAATCATTCAAGCTGTTTTTACTGCCTAAGTTATTAAACCTGTTGTGTGTGCCAAAAATCGATACTTAATGCAAATGGAAACTTCGAGTGCTAATGGTGATTAAAGCATAAATGGTTCCTATTCATATATAATAAAAGGAAATATGAAAGACAAAGCAAAAATGATTTTTATATCCATTTAAACCAATAAATCCCAAAATAAAAAAATATAGATATTTACTTAAAAACATATTTTTCTTGATATAAAATAAAAATATAACCTTTAGTACAAATTACAAAAAAAAAAATTATTCAACAGAGCTACTTATAATACAATTTAAATTGAATCATTGTTTCATAAATATTAAGCTTTAGGTAAGCCATAATCAAGTCAGCTATAAGAAACGGAACTAAAAATGGAACAAAGTTATTTAAACGCATAATCATAATCATACACATTAATTACAAATTAACATGTCATGCAATCAATACTTTTGAAAACTCAAAAATGCGAATAAGAAACTTACTTTTTTATTTTTACATAACCCTGACAGACCAACATTAATGTGAGCTAAATCTATTTGCATAAAACATCACAACAATTAATTAAATAGCAGAACCACCTCCAAAGGACAAAAAAATTAGTTTTTTAAGGAAAATTAGAGTTATTGGGAGGGGAGGTATTAATAAATAAAAAAGCTTAACTTGAATTTAAAAATTAGTTCATAGTTTTGTTAAGGGTTATTGAGTTATTCTGAGTTTATTATATATATTTTAAACTACTGACACCACACACTTATATTCTTAGTTCTGGAAGGTGCTAGATAGAATTTAATTGTGTGAAAACCAAATCCCTTTGAGATTAACATTAACTTTATCAAATGTATGACCGTGACTTTTATTTCTAGTTAATGAGCATTGTTGATAAAGGTGTCTTTATTTAAATGATTTACTTTGATAGCATTTAACATTCATGGGAAAAATAAAAAACAACACAAAAATAAATTTACAAAAATATATTACAAAAAAAAAAATGAAGTGGCTCAAAAGTTGTCAATTTCTTTACATTTTAATATGTAAAAAAATTATTGACAACTTTTGCGCCACGTTGTCTTCTCCTCCCAGCATCCGCTCTATTCCCCGTGTTGTATGGGGTGCCATCCCTCCATCTAAAGGAGGGATGGTCATCCCCATACAAACACCAGTGATGGAAGGCCCTCATAGATAGAGGGCCTGGATGCTGGGAGCGATACTTTCTGAACTCTTCCCATGACTTCGAGCCTGAAAAAAAAATTATATATAAATACAACTATGTACCAAGGTAATACTTACAAAAAATCTACTGTAAAAAAACAATAAAAGCAAATAATGTAATAAATTAAATACAAGTGAGCACAACAACTTATTTATTTTACTCACTAATACTTGACTTATTACATTAACTAATTAAACTGGAAAGCACATTTGTAGCTATATTAAAAAACAAAAGGTACAATAAAAGCAATCAATCAATGTAATAAGTCAAGTAAAGGTGAATATAACAACTTACTTGTAACAGAAGAAGCAGCAGCTAGAGATAAATAAAAGAAAGTTAAAAATGCAATAAAACCAATTAATCCATAAATTAAGTCAAGTATAAGTGAATATAACAACTTACTTGTAACAGAAGAAGCAGCAGCTAGAGATAAATAAAAGAAAATTAAAAATGCAATAAAACCAATTAATCCATAAATTAAGTCAAGTATAAGTGAATTTCAAAAAGTTCAGAATCAACAGCTGGGTCTGGGATTTCTGCTGATATCAAACTATCAATATCTTCTGCTGTTTCTAGCTTATCAGCATTTACAAAGTGCAATAAAATATGTACATGTGGCAAACCACGCTTTTGAAACTCAATAACCTGCACATGACTTACAACTTTGCCTAAGACTCCATGCTTAAAAATATCCTCTAAGAAAAATTTAAGTTTCATTTTAAATACCCGACAAACTAAATCAGGTCTGTCATTAGCAGTTTGGCCTGGGTTTAAATTTTCTACTATTTCTCTCCATTTTGGATTGCAGGTAAAAGTAATGAATAGATCTGGTTTACCATATTTCTTTATGACTGCCATCGCATCTTCAAAGTTTTCTTTTAATGCTCTTGGACTACCAACATATGAAGAAGGCAATATAACAACACGGCCTGGTCTTACATTAAGATCATTAGCACGATTAATTACATGTTCATGCAATGCATCATATTGCTCACTTCTAAGTTTGTTTTGGTTATTTCTAATAAAAGCAAGGCGCTGTCCCTCAACTTTGACATATGCATCAACAACATATTGCTGAAAAAGTTTCTTACCATAGAATATAGGACTAAAAGTTTGTCTAACAGCAAGCCTATAATTATAATACTGAGACAAAGTAACATGGTTTCTAACACGGGTTGCACGGTCAGGGTTGTGCTCTAGTTGATTGTGCCATCCAGCATCACCTCTCGGGAAGAATATTGGATATACCAAAGGATCCAAATTTGCAGACATAGACGAAATTGTTCTTAAAGGCTGACCTCGAGGGTATATAACAATTTCCCTGGATGCAGGTGGAGCACCATCATCTCCCACAAACACAATAGCAACTTCCTCATGGGAAGGAAGATTGTATCGACGTCTATCATGACCTTCAAGCAAAGACATTCTTACAACAGAGGTTGGTCTACCTTCTAAAGCTGCTTGGCGGATTTCTTCATCCTCTACTTCTGCCATGTTTTTAAATGCAAGAGCAAATGGGTTTTCTTGA